ATGTTTTTCCCTTTGCACACCATTCTTTGTAAACCCTAGAAATGGTTGTGCGTGAAAATCCCAGTAACTGAGCAGATTGTGAAATACTCAGACCAGCCCATCTGGCACCAACAACCATGCCACACTCAAAATTGCTTAAATCACCATTCTTTCCCATTCTGACATTCAGTTTGAAGTTCAGGAGATTGTCTTGACCAGGACCACACCCCTAAATGCATTGAAGCAACTGCCATGTGATTGCTTGATTAGATAATTGCATTAATGAGAAATTGAACAGGTGTTCCTAATAATCCTTTAGGTGAGTGTAATCCTTTATTTGACTAATCCATACGACTCCCTGGCTAAACTAAGAACTATTTTGCATACATTCAGTTCTGTTTCAGGATATAAAGTAAATTACGATAAAAGTGAAATACTTCCGCTGTCAAATTTTGATTATGATGAACCTCGGCAAGGAACCCAATTCAAATGGTCTCCAAAGGGGATAAACTACCTTGGAATTAGGGTGGATAACAACCTCAAAAATCTTTACAAACTAAACTACATGCCACTAGTTAATCGAATAATAGAAGATTTACAGAAATGGGTACACTTACCTATTACTTTGATTGGCCGAATTAATTGTATTAAAATGAACGTATTACCGAGGCTACAGTACCTCTTTCAATCCTTACTGATCCCAGTGCCACCCAATTTTTTTAAGAACCTCAATAAACATATTAGACAATTCATATGGAATGGCAAGATTCCAAGGGTATCGTTAGAAAAAGTTACATGGGATTATAAATTGGGGGGTCTTCAACTTCCAAATTTTGAAAAGTACTACCTAGCTGCACAAATGAGGCTGATTGCCTTCCTCTTTGAAAATGAAAAGGTCCCATCCTGGGTTTTAATTGGCATGCATGCTGTTAAAGAAGAGACTTCAGCTGATTTTATTTATAAATGGACAGACGCAACCATCTCCAGAAGAACTGATAACCCTGTCCTGATTCATATTATCAAAGTATGGCATAGGGTGTGGAAGAATACGGGACATAAAATTATAGTTTCACCCAAAACACCGCTGAAGCAGAATGGACTTATACCCATGACAGTCGATAACAAAATTCTGGAAATGTGGTATCAAAAAGTAATCCGGTGGCTGGAGGACTGCTATGAGAGGGGGTCCCTGATGTCTTTTGAGGACTTGAGGAGAAAGTACAATCTACCCTGCAGAAGTTTTTTCTGTTATTTACAGTTGAGATCATTTCTTAAAGAGACTTTGGGACCAGCAATGACTTTACCCATGTTTAGTGATTTGGAAAAATTGCTTCATGAAGGGAATGCACCTCGTCTTGTCTCAAAGGTATATTCCTTTTTGATGGAGGTTGCTTCGAAACCGGGTTTGCATAGATCGAGGGAGAGATGGGAGTCCGACTTGGGGGTGACAGTGACCAGGGAACTCTGGTCTGAACTATGCCGGAAGAGTTTGACTGCCACCGTTAATTCCAGATATATGCTTACATATTATAATTTTCTCCATCAATTATATATAACACCTTTGAAACTGCACAATTACAAATCTGAGGTATCCAGCTTGTGTTTTAGATGTAGTGTGGAGGAAGGATCATTCCTCCACTGCACCTGGTCATGCACAAAACTTAACACATTCTGGCTTGATTTCTCTGATGTTATGACAAGACTCCTAGGAGTGCATTTTCCATTGGATCCGCGGATTTGTTTATTGGGAGATACTACAAAAATTGATGCACAATTAAACAGGGCTCAGAGGAAGTTTCTCTCATTGGCATTATGTGTTGCCAGGAAGTGCATTGCCGCTACGTGGAAGTCGGACTCCAGTCTCCCCTTAGGAAGATGGATTTCAGAAATGAATAGCTGTGCTCCACTTGAAAAAATTACATATACGCTCAGAAACGACAATAAGACTTTTGAAGAAATGTGGCAGTCTTATTTGTTATATATGGATATGCTTCAGTGATATATGTCAGACTAATAAGGTTCTCTCTCTTTTTTTTTTTTTTTCCGGGGGGGGTGGGGAGGGGTTTGAAGTTTGTGTCCTGTGTTCTATGTATGTTTGAAAATGCTGAAAATAAAATATTCTTAAAAAAAAAAGTCAATGGTCACATTTATTTAGTCAAACAACACCATTTTAAGTAAAATACTCTAATCAAAAAATACAAAGACATGCGCACACATCACATGAATCAAATGTAAACTACAAATACTATATACCAATACAAACTGCACATCAAATTGTGCATTAATAAGAATAAGGACAAGTGCTTAAAAGATTCTGACATCTTAATGTCTGCAATGGCATGTGATTACACATTTAACTAACGTTTAACTAGCGCTACACTTATTTTGCACGTATAACGCGTATTTTGATTGGATGAGCGCCAATGTCTGAATCACAACAAAATGCATGTATGTGATTGATTGGTTGCATTTGACGGGCGTGAAAGGCAAAATAATAATAATGTTGCATTATCGAATGTTACGTTGTGTGTCATGGATACTTTTCGCTCCAAGTCTCCCGACCACTATGTCGATCTGAGACAGCAAGACCAAGACAAGACCAAAAGTGGTCTCGAGACCGGTTTCGAGACATCCAACTCTAGTTCAGACCCATCTGAAATATGCCCGTGAACACCAGAATAATTCCAATGAGGCTTGGAAGAATGTGATGTGGTCAGATGAGATCAAAATCAAGCTGTCTGGCATTAACTCTACTCACTGTGTTTGGAGGGAAAAGAATGCTGACTGTAACCCCAGGAACACCATCCCTACTAGTGATGCGCGGGTCGACCCGTGACGGTTTTAGGGCAGATATTTTTAAAATATCGTGGGTGCAGGCGGGCGGGACAAAAAGTTACAAAAGGCATTTCATTATCGATCAAAACGTGTTGTAAATGGGGTCGGCGTATAAATGCAGTCGACGTATATATAGTTTTCAATTTGTAGGATAAGCTACTAGTTTGGTGAAATATCACGTTTAAGTATGCTCTGCTCTACTTCATTTTAGACAAAATTAAGTTAAAATAGACCTAAGTTCTACTAAGTTCATTCAAATCTGATAGAGTTCTCAGATCTGATGTTACATCAGATATTACAGTTTTGACAACTAGTGTGTTTTGCATACATGCACACTTGTGTGTATTTATGTGTGTGAGATGTCGCTTGTGCAATTTTCCGCAACCCTTCAATAAATAACGACGTAAAAATCGATCTTTCGGTTGCTTTGTTGTTGCTTGGTACACAGTTAATCTTGCATAAAATTGTGTCATTATCTTCAATCAGGGTACCCGCGGTCATGGAAAACCTGGAAAAGTTTTGGAATTTTGAAATAATTTTTCCAGGCCCTGGATAAGTTTTGGAATTCTTGGATAGAGAGGAAAAGTTATGGAAAAGTTTTGGAAACTAGCCTTGTTCATTTTTGTTTCCCACTTCGTTCCGCAACACGCTAACAGAAATGAGCGGAGGTCAATAGTTAACTACCTTCGTAAACATCTGTTTCCGTGCAGATTTCACGTATTTGAGATCGCTGCTTTTTTGCTCGCTATTCTGGTTTTTATGGTTTTATGTATTAATTTGCACGTATTTGAATTTTATTGATCACAGTTTCCCATTTTTGACTCTGTTTGCCTCTACCAATCATAAGGTATGTATAATTTTAATATTGGGATTCATCTTCTTAGTAATTGAACGCTATTTGCACATTGGCGAAAGTTGTCCACCATCTGTGTTTATTAGGTAAGCAGATTGGCTATTATCGTACCGAAAATTGTAGTATTGTAGTAGAGCGGAGACAGAGGAGCAGCAGTCAGCAAAGAGGAGTGAATGAAAATTTCTGCTGAGCTGTGTACAAACCTGGTGACCAACTACAAGAAACATCTGACAGTTGTGCTTGCCAACAATGGTTACTCCACCAAGTACTAAAGCATGTGTTCCAAGGGATCAAATACTTATTTCCCTAGATAATTGACAAATTGGTTTGTAACTGTTACATAATGATTTTTCTGGCATGTTTTGTTGATCTATCTATCTTTTCCTGTTAAAATAAACCTACCAGTGAAATTATAGACTTCTGATTTCTTTATTAATAGGTCAATTTAAGAATTCAGCAGGGGGTCAAATAATTATTTCCCTCACTGTATATGGTGAGGCACATGCAGTACATAGTGCATGCAAGATAGAAGCAGGGCTCATGCTACAGCACAGGTGCACAGTACAAAAAAAAAAACAGCTAAACCACCAATATCTTGCAGCAGGAAGTACAAACAGGCCAAAAGGAAAACAGCATTGTGTAGATTCAGATGGAAGGAAGACAACATAATGGGGGGGGGACTGAACTGGGAACAGGCAGCACAGAGCCTTATATCAGCAAATGCACCTTCTAATTGGAAACTTTTCTGTGAGCTACGTACAATCCGAGTATTTTTCACACTGCTGATTCCTCCAAGCAACATAAGCTCTACTTTTGAGCAGAATCAGAAACAGCACAGAGTCACAGACAACACAGCCCTCTGTTTGTGAGAAACAGTGAAAGGCAAACAGCAAGCGTACCACATTTTTGACAATATGAACATTTTTTTTTTAAGAGACTATAATTCAATCTGAAAGGGAAGCTTTCAGTTGAGAGAAACAGCTGATAAGAAACTAATCAGACTGCCTGGCTAACAGGTACAAGAGAGACAAACAACACGTCCATCTACGAGAGCAAGGTGGCTGGCATCCCAATACCACACTGACCAACTTGGAGCTCCCAAGCTCTCTTCCGCACATCTTATACTTTCACTTTGAAGGCCAAAGAACAAAGGCAATTCCCAGAAATGGTTTCATAAATCAAACCCTGAGTGTGGCAAGCTGAGGTGCAAGGTGCCAAATGTGAGCTGGAATTTACTAGAACACTTGACATGGCATTCTGTAAACCATGGAACATGCGGTAGAATGTCCTTTGCCTGCAGCCTCAGAAGACACCGGGGACACTATTGTCAACCCACCTCCTTTCTCATCATAGTACTCTTCTTTAAAATTGGCTTCCAGCTGTTTCTGCCGTCGCCTTTCCTCCTTCATCTCCTTCTCCTGGAGCTTGCGGGCAATGGCCTATGGTGGCAAGCGAGGAGAACACAGTACTTAGGAGAACATAGCGATGAGGAGATTACCCTGGGCACACTATGCTACCACAGACTCTGCAGCCTGGAGTTCACTACACAGAACACTTACAACGAAGAACACAGAATCATGATCTTTTATAGTCTTTAACTAACATATGTTTATGGACAAAAGTATTCAAAAGACTTCTTAATTTAGAAAGGTTTTTAAACTAGTTTAAAAGGGTGGAAATATCTTTGTTAGCACAGTAGCTATGTAAGCAGGTAAAAGAGCAGGGGGAAGGTACTTTGACAGATCATTATGGTGAAAATCTGCCAGCACTATGGTGTGGAATGTAGCAAACCACAGTAAGCGGCCTCATTATTAAGCCTCTTATAAAGCTCTCACCGCATCACTTTCCTCCTGCTGCCTCTGCAGTTCAGCTTGCCGGACCAGCTGCTCCTGGATTTCCTGGGCAATCTCATTGTCATTGCGCTCTCTGGGGGTATGCAGGACAGCACAGAACACCTCACATACTGACACCATCTGACATAACAGGCATATAATTTGGCTAAATGTGAAGGAAAGTTCTCTAAAATGCAGCTACTGCCTGGCCTTATAGATCATCCAAATGAAAACTGCCATGTTCACAAACATCTACCAAAAGTGTTGTAGGCAAACGAACATTTTCACAGGTGACACCCCACCCATGCAACATAAATGGGGGGGCACATGTGGCTGCTATAAAGAGCTATAAAGCTAGGTATGTAGGTAACTCAACTATTCGTTTCATGTCACACACATCAGTTTTGATGCCTGTTTGAGGAAAGGATGACCTACAGTTCTCGGTGCTGTTTCTGAATGTGGGCCTTGGCCCGAAGGTCCTCCTCTTCCTGGAGACGTCTGGCCACCTGCAGATCCTGCTGGACCAGGCGGCTCTTGTGAATGTTGGATGCTAAATGGTTTTCAACTGGCGGGGGAGGGCATAACACCAGTTTGTAAAGGCTCTTTTTCTGTATACTAAAATTAAACATCTGCAACATTTTGCTAAAACTTTCTTGGGTCAAAAAGCCGATATTGCAGAAAGCGTGCTTAATGTATTTTATTTATATTTACACTCGGTGGAAACGTTATTATGCACAGCAAGTTAGTACTGGGTAAGTGTTAACTGGTAACTTTCGCTTCCAGAACTAATTCAAGTGTAGACGAGTTATGCATTCAGATAAGTCTTTCTGCACACCACTGTGGTACACAGCTGGTATTTTAGCACTTGTGGTCTTCCTGTTAGCTTTAATTAATCTGTCCTGTGACATCTGTCATGAAAGTGTTCAGCCACAGAACGGGACTGAATTTATTTATTTTTCTTTTTAATCGTACCATTCTTTAGACAATAGAGTAAAAAAAAATCCAAGAAAGTGGCAGTTTCCGAGTTGCAGATGCCACAAAGTCTGAAAATCACTTAAATCAGCCATCTTTGCCTTTCTAATGCTGAGTCAAACAATAAGTGAACTTCCTGACCTAGTCTGTGTGTTGTATGTATTCAGTTGTAGCTATATGATTTGCTGTTAACCACCAGGTTTATCTAATAAAGTGCCCCCTGAAGGTATCCATGTACAGTACAGGCCAAAAGTTTGGACACACCTTCTCATTCAATGTGTTGTCTTTATTTTCATGACCAAAAGAAAAAAGGTGAAATAACTGAAAAAATGCTTACTGCTTTACTTTGCTAAACACCTCTGGGAACTCCTTCAAGACTGTTGGAAAACCATTTCAGGTGACTACCTCTTGAAGCTCATCGAGAGAATGCCAAGAGTGTGCAAAGCAGTAATCAGAGGAAAGGGTGGCTATTTTGAAGAAACTAGAATATAAAACATGTTTTCAGTTATTTCACCTTTTTTTGTTAAGTACATAACTCCACATGTGTTCATTCATAGTTTTGATGCCTTCAGTGAGAATCTACCAATGGTCATGAAAATAAAGACAACATATTGAATGAGAAGGTGTGTCCAAACTTTTGGCCTGTACTGTATATCTTTGAGACCTGTGCATGGAAAAAGCTGAAAAAAGCTGAATACATTTGTTTATTTAGCAGACATTTGTGTCCAAAGTGCAAATGAGGAATATAGCACATTACAGGCATACAGTCATCAGGAAGTCACCTAGGAGCAAGTGCAGCTAGGCTGTGTTTCCAATGAACTAGATAAGGTAGTGTTAACATGTGATCTCATACATCACACGTAAAGCATTGCAACTGTAATAAAATGTACATTTGCAATAGGGATGGGAATCACCAATGACCTACTGATACAATATTATCATGGTATCTACAGTAGGTGCCCATTTCATACGTATTGCGATTCTATGAATATCCCAATTTGATACCACATTTTTTTGCATTTTTTTTCTTTTCTAGAATTTTAAAACCTTGAAATTTGTTTAAAAAAAAAGGCGAGTTATATCGCTAAAGTTTTATTCAATAGCTGCACAGCTGAACTGAACTTGAGTAAATGCAGCATACTTCAAATAATTTTCCTCCTCAAAAAAACCAAAGGCAGCATTTAAACAATGCAAAACAACTTCAAATACAACATATAAATTTTAACTAAAAACTAGAAATTAACAAAAAGCTACATTTGCTACTGTCATGCCATAAGCTACAGCAAGGTTTTATGCTTCTTCGCTGCTTTAAATATCTCAGGATGATGTCTATCAATGCGCACTGCATGTTTGTCATATAACACTTAACTTTCACAGAACAAAGTTTGCATACAGCATGGCTCATGTCCAACTCCTTTTTACCATTAAAATTTTGAAAGCCAAAGTTCCTCCATACTTAGACTGTGGAGGAGCAGCTCGAATCTTTGCTATATCATCCGCCATTATTGTTATTGCTAAACAAAGTTAGAAAACAATTGACTCCTACTACACAGGATGTTGTGCTGCCTGTCAATGCGGGAATAGTTTACAGCTGTAGGATTATAAAGGAACAGCCATGTTTCTCCAACTCAAATCCAAACATATAAATTATAAATTAATTAAAAAATCTATTCGATTATCGAGTTAGTGTAGCAATACATGAATCGCCGCACAAAAGAATCACGATACATGGATGATGAGCAGGGGTGGGCATGGGTGAGTTGATTTGGAGTGGCTTCATTTAATGTATTGATCTGTTGCTCAACTAATTAAAAATAAAGTTGTCCTCTGAAGAGGGTGGTGGTGGCGGCTGGGCATAAAAAAAAATTAAATAAAAAAAATTAATTAATATGATTAATAAAAAAAAATCTTAGTTGAGGCATCATTCCGACTTCAGACCTCTGAGGTAAATGGAACACAGCAATAGGATACCATACGGATCAATTGAAAGTGAAAGCCAATAAATGTGTTTTTATCTGAATGCTCTGTGTCCTAGTTGAGATACACAACTCTCAAACTATACCTATTAATTTATTGCACATGCCAATTTGCACCAACTTTCCCCAGCAGTTAGGTGGTTAGCTGTATTTCTTTATATGCTTCCAACCCTCTATTTTCTATACTCACTTATGTTTTCGGTTCGGAACACACAATGAAACAATGAATACATTTACTTTATTGACAAGGACGTAACTTAAATTCACAAGTAGATGTTTAACAACAAGAAAATGTTTAGCTAATTGCAGTTCTATTATATACCTCACTTAGCTGTGTATTGTTGCACACACATGCAAGGTGGCAACTCATTTGAGATGATCAACCAAGAGTGTATATGACCAGAGTTAGACAGAAACCACCTCTGCAAGTCGTCTGGTGCTTTTGCCAGGAAATTCAGACTACAGAGGCTATAGAGGTGTTTATCAGTACAGATAAGCAATCATACTTGGTACTTGGTAGTACAAAACAAAAGATTTGGATGGCATTTAATTCATTATGATTAAGGGGTCGGCGGTACACTGGTGTCATAGTCATTATCGGTGTGATTGTGTGCCATGACATGGATTGCACTATAGTTTAGTTTAGTTTATTTATTTATTTGAACAGGGACAATGTACAAAATACATTAACCTCAAAAAAAGGAGAGATGCTTTGTACCAGGTTATAGCACTATTGCTAATTCACACCTGTAGTCCCTGGACCGACTGGTGTTAAAATTGTATAAAACTGTCAAAAGTACAAATTGAAACAGATCATTATAAATACATTATCATATACACTCACCTAAAGGATTATTAGGAACACCTGTTCAATTTCTCATTAATG